TAACAGTGTTAAAAGCATTGGAGAAATCGATGAGGACCAAGCAAGTAATTTTACCATTCTCCATACCTGCCCTAACATCGCCAGTTACCTTGAGAAGAGCTGTGATTGTACTATGTCCTGGTCTAAAACCCGATTGCAGAGGATTCAGTATAGAATTTTTGTAGGCAAACTGCGAAAATTGTTGGTGAACGCAAGCCTCAAGTACTTTGGATAAGAAAGGAAGGATGGAGATGGGACGGAAATGGTTAGGGTCAGTTGGATTAGAGACTTTAGGAAGAGGACGGACATAAGCTTTACGCCAAAGAGAAGGGAAAACTCCAGAAATAAGAGAGAAATTTATTATATGTGTAATTGCAGAGAGAAGGTGATCCAAGATTAAAATTATCATGCGACGACTAATGTTGTCACACCCCACAGCATTAGATTTAATGGAAAGGACGATTTTTTTAATGTCTGACGATGTGAATGGTGAAAAGTGAAAAAGGGGAATGTTGAGACGCGGTAAAGCTGATATAGAAGCAATGGCAGCTGTAGTAGTTGCCCGATCTAGCTTCGACGTAGTTGAGAAATGTCGATTTAAGTCATTTAATTCGATCGAAGTAGGCAGTTCCAAATGACGAGATTTGCCGATGCCTAGAGTTCCAAGAAATTTCCAGATATCAGCAGGAGAAGAGGAAGAGATATTATTGAGGATGTAGCGGCGTTTTGCATTACGTATCATCTGGTTTAACCGATTTCTAGCGACTTTGAAGAGACCCCACTTTTCTTCTCCACGATCTTTCTTGAAATTACGGAACGCCCGATCCCTACGCCTCATCGCCATTTGAATGCCTTTAGTCATCCATGGAGCTGGTAACCTCTTTAACTTAATTTTTTTAACAGGAGCATGAGTATTATACAGTTCTGTAACGATACAATTAAAGATACGAACTTTTTCGTCGACTGAAGGCGCTTCTATTAGGGGCTCCCAATTAATTAACGAAGCATCCTTTTGAAGTTCTTCAACATCTAGGCGTGCAAAAGAGCGCCTATACAGAACCTTAGGAATAGATTTAGGAGGTTTAAGGAGATAGGAAAGGAAAATAAGGTCATGATGAGAAAATCCAGGAGCAATGTGTTGACCGTGAGAGGATACTAGGGAAGGATTCGAGATTAGGATTAAATCCAGCCAGGAGTCGTCACCACCTATGTTTTGGTGAGTAGATTGAAGCGGCAGGATTTGAAGGCTGGATGACTGAACTATATTCAGAAGCTTTCGGGATCGGGGAGAGTTAGGTAAAAGGAGATTGGTATTGAAATCTCCCATGATGATGTAATGAGCATACTCAGAACCCAAAGATTCCAAAACCGTTTCCAGTTCGGTGAAATAGTTGATAGATGGGGGACAATAAACAACACCCAAAATTACCCTGTCACGACCAGTTCCAACTTCTAGGAAGAGAAATTCGGCACATGAGTCAGAACTAGAAGAAGCTATTATTTTGTAAGTAAATACGCTACGCAAATATATGGCCACTCCACCACCACCTGTTTTGGTTCGATCATTTCGGATGAGAATAAAGTCAGGAAGTGAATAGGTCGACGAATCGAGATGCGGTTTTAGCCAAGACTCAGAGATCAGAATAGCGTGGACATTCGGTCCGGAAAACACATCAAGCAGTTCATTGTAGTGACAAGGAACACTTTGGGCATTGATATGACATACATTCAATAAACTAGAAGATTTACAGAAGGTTCGACCAAGAAAATCACCCAAATTGTCAGCAGCAGAAGAAAAACTATCATAGCTGGAGGCACTTGCAGATTCATCGTCAGCAGAAAAATATGTATTATCATGAAATAACATTAAAATATATAAATAAAGATAAATATAATAATATTGTAATAATATAATATAATATATATACTACCCAAACTCTTAATCACTTAAAACACTTAAATCTCCACACCACCCGCCAGCTTACATCAACGGATACACAAAACAATAGATATATAAAAAAAAAAAACAAAACTCACAATTGATTAAACCATAATTTAGAATCAAATTCATAGTGCAAACAAACAAACTCAAAATTAGCCTGCTTGGAACGAATCCCTTTGCGTTTAGACAATTAAAAAAAAAAATGCAAGAAAACTAAAAGTAAAGAGTCATGTCAGACAATGTCAAATGAATGTTTGTTTATTCACACCACAACCCTGTAACAAAGTTTGTGCATTATTCTCATAAAAGAGTTTTGCAATAGAATCATATCAACTCGCATACTAATGGGACAATTACAGTCAGAAATAGAGAGAAGATATCGATAAATAATACCAGTGCAAACATGATTCGTCAACTACTTCAAGACAAAATAGATAAGAATGTAAGCAAATAACAATATAATCACTTAAATCTATCACTATTAAGAGAGACAAATCAAGATAATCTAAAAAAAAAAAATCGATACGTGAATAAAGGTGAGATCATCATTACAATATAAAATGAAGCCATTACTTATTATTCTTATTTCCAGAGCGCCCACTCAAAGCCGCTGTCGTTAAGAGTGCCTTCGGATATTTTGCAATCAGGGAGTCCAACTCTTCTCTCAGCACCACCTTGTGCCGCTTGCCATCGGAAGACTTGACAAATATGATTCCATCTTGTGTCCAGCATGACCGAATACCAAAATGCAGACGGGCTTTGCTAAAAACGGCTTGTCTTGACTTTGTGAGGAACTCCCTCACCGAGATGCCAGTCCCCTTCAAACCGGTCTTTGCCCTCCAGACTGAAGTTCGTGCTTCAACTTGTGCAAACCGAATTAGAATGGGACGATGGTTATCATCAGTGTTGCTGCTAGAAGAAGATCCCAATCTGTGACACACTGTGAGAGAATTCCTTGAAATGTCCTTGAGGCCTAACTTCGAATTGAGAATGCCACACACCTGTTCTTTGCAATCCTCCTTTTCGGATTCAGCAACTCCAAGAAGAATCAAGGCCTTGCGTCGATGCCTGGTCTCAATGGCCTCAATTTGCATGCAGCACTCATTTATTTGCTTTCTAAGTAATCCAAGCATATTAAACATGAGCTCTCTAAAAGTCCGGAACTCCTCGGCCACCTTGGCAACCGTTTCCTTACCAGGACCTGCACCTTGAATTTGTTGTTCAAGATCATGCATCTTCTTGATGAAAGATTCCTCAAGACTTCTCTGAGTGGACATAATTTCAGATAGCTGTGACATTCTTAGTGAGATTTAGTGAGAGTGAGAGATGTGCTGGCAGGTAGTGCTTAATATTTACTATGTCCACATAAAAACTAAACCAACGTTAGTAGAGTTGTAATGGTTCATAAAATTCACAGTTATGTTACCAAAATTTTGTTAAAATAACTTTAACTATTTTACTTGTATTATGTGAATCAAAAACACGTCTATACTTTTTAACACCTACCGCCGTTAAAAAGTATAGACCTCTTTTATAGCCTAAATTCACCGCATATGATGTCCTGTAGGTAAAATAATTTTCAAAATCGGCAAGCAAACAAACAATCAAATCTTTCTCCTTTATAATATTAGTATAGATGTGGTATTTTCTTTCTTAATAAAGCAACTACAAAGTTCCAGGACTTGTGATATGGTTTTATCACTTACTATGTTTACGCGCAGACAAGTCGTGATTGGTTTTCATAGCGATATTTGACAATATCAACTTGATATTGGTGGCAATTCTGTTGTACTACCCAAAAATACATAGACAACTAAAAATACAACTTCATCAAAGAAAAACAATAATAGAATATTTTTACTTCTGTTATCTCACTTATTTTTACAATTGAAAACTAGTTGTCGCAGAGGTTGAAACCTCAATTTTGAAAATGAACCTACAGGTGTTTGGAACTCTTTTTTAAGACGTCTGAAATCATTCATGATTTCATGAAATATTTATTTCAGGTTTAAAGAACATCCATAAAAGACGATATCCGTTGGAACCTATAAAGGTTATTGTAAAAGAAAAAAACAAAACTATATTTGACGATAGTCTAAAAAGAGTAGTTTCGCGCTGTAGACGACATTGAAGTCCCCGAGCGCCTTCTTAATGACCAACTTAGTATTTTCTTGAATAAGAACAAGCTCATGAATTCATATCAACTGCTCTTATTAATATAACAGATGACATAAGACTAGGAATGGAAACTGGAACTCTTACAATTTTGTGTCTTCTTGATTTAAGCAACGCTTTCAACATGTTTTGATTCAAATATTACGCTCTATTGACATATCTCCATCAGCGATTGATTGGTTTCGAAATTACCTGTCTTGTCGCCGGCAGCGGGTCCTCGTTGAGGATTCATGTTCGTCGTGGTGCAATATCACTGCTAGGGTACTGCAGGATGAGGTGTTATCTCCTCTTCTTTTTGCAGTATACATTAGTTCTATTTCATGTCGATTAGTTTCTTCCTACCATTTCTACGCAGGCTACTGTTGAACAATCTAATTCAGCCATCAGTAATCTGAATAAGGACTTATGTCAAATTTCTGAATGGAGCCGTAGTAATGGATTGCTGATAAATCCCCACAAAACCCAAGTTATTATAATGGGCAGCTCTCGGGTTAGAACAAAACTTAAGTATGATCAACTTCCACAAATTTTTTTTTGTGGAATTAACTTACATCTCAGTGATTCTTCGTCCCAACAAGTATGAAGCCAGAGCTAATAGATGTTTACTGGAGAGTCACCTTCACAAGAAAGTTGTTTTCACTGGTAGTTTCCATTACCTAGCAACCAAATGCTAGAACAACTTACCACCACCTCTGGGTATATATACTTCAGGTTAGAAATTTGGGCGTTCAATTTGTCAACAATTTGAATTGGAATGTGCAGTTCAAAGAAGTGATGAAAGAATTTTTAAAAACTGTCTAGTTGTTTCGGAGCCTGTGCGATGCAATCAAGAAAATCTTTCCTCTTTATAATATTAGTATAGAATAAAAGTAGTTGATTTTATTCCGATTGCATTTTGTTTTAGAATCTACGACATTTTCGGGACCTCAGACCGTAAATTGGTAAAGGAAGATTTGATGAAACTGAAATTTCTCGAAAGGGTAGTAAAGGAGACGCTGAGGCTCTTCCCTCCTGTACCTTTCATCATAAGGAAAATTGAAGAAAATGTTACACTGCGTAAGTACTTCGTTATTATGTGTAATAAGCAATAGGGATTGTCCGGTAAGAAAAAAGTTCAATTATATGATTTCTAATTATAATTATAAATAATATAATAGTCAGATAATAGAGACATATTAACGTATTATTTTTACTCAATTTAACAAGAAATAGATAACAGTGTGTGTGCCTATTCTAAAGTATTGTTAGATAATAGTGTAATAGGCTGATGATGATGACATACGAATGAAGTCTCGAAATTGCGGAAAAAATACACATATTAAAATAATTGCCTCGGACCCTTTGAATATAACTGACTAATAATTGATTCACATTGTCGTTTTTCATTGCAGCGTCCGGTAAAGTGTTGCCAGCGGGTTCTGGCCTGGTAATCTCCATATGGGGCATTCATCGGGATCCAAAGTACTGGGGACCGGACGCCGAGAAGTTCGACCCCGACCGATTCTCGCCGGAGAGACTCAACCTGAAACATGTGTGCAGTTTCATGCCCTTCAGTCAAGGACCCAGAAACTGTCTCGGTAACTTAACCTTATAGCTCTTATTCGCACACTAATAACATTTATTTATTTATTTTTTCATTTACATTGGCTGATAGGACCCATATGTCTATCATCCCGCACGCGGGCCTCATCTACCAATGTAATTAAGTCATTAAACTCTCCTAAATGTATTATTCTTATGTATAAAACTCCAGTTAAATAAATTCATTTCTATCCAATATCCAGTAACTCGGTGGCGTAGTGCATTAGCGCCACGGCACGCAATAGTTGTTGTTAAGCAACTTTCACAAAAGTCGGTCACAGGATGGATGAATAAAAATTATTATCTCGAGCTACTTCGTGCTTCAGAAAAAAACATTAAGCCGTTGATCCCGGCTGCATTTGCAGTCTTTGGAATCCTCCAATCCGCATTATCCGCATCCTCCTTAACCATCCATAAGGAAGGCCCGAGCCCTTGTAGTGGGGATGTAAAAGGGCTGATAATAATGATCCAATAATCATACAGCCTACTCATTTAATCTACTAGGATATAGACAGTTAAATGGTAAGGGCTTTGCTCCAAAAATTAATTGTGCTCTGACCCATTAAACAAAACTTTTCAAAATAGCACTAGATACTTTTCTTGCATTCATTTTTCTTGGACAAATGAGATCTCGAATAATAATAAGAAACATTATAAGTAAACCCATAAATACTCACTTCAATTGCTTCAAATAATTAATTTAAATGTAATAATTTACGCAATACAGTTCTTATCTACATCTTGCGTTTTTAATAATTATTTTAAATGAATAGATTATTGCAGTAGAATTCCTTATAATTGTAATTATCTTAATTAAATGAACAGCTAAGTTATACGCCCGCCATTCATATTACACTTAATTGTTGTTATATTCTTGCGTTCGTTAACAATGAATGCCTTTATAAAAATCTATCGCAAGACATCCCTTTTAAAGATATAGTAATTGTCGCAATCGCTTAAGGAACAAATGATGATTGAATGATCAAAAACTTTTTATAAAAAAATGGTATCAACTTCAAATTTAAAAAAGTGAAAAATAATACTTATCTTAAAAGCGGTTAAAGTTTTTAAGAAAGATTGAAGTCGGACTGAGGTTTTCCGTAGTTGATTAAATACTAACCGCCCACCCTGGAAATTACCACGCGGCAAGCACTAGCTTTTAAATAAAGAAATAATCATCAAATTCGGTCCACCCAGTAAAAAGTTATGAGGTAACAAACAGAAAAAAATACAGTCGGATTGATAACCTCCTGCTTTTTTTTGAAGTCGGTTAAAAAACATAATTTACAGCATTCTGGATATATTATCTAACAACTTATCTATTTAAAATTTTATTTTTTTTAAATACAGTATTCACAAAGACGGTTTACTTTTGACATATCATAAAAATTTGTGTATTTTTCTTATTTTATCGTAACAAAAATATAAACTATGCTTATAATTTAAAAACATATATTATCTTTTCTATCATATTACTTTATAATTATTTCTTTTCTTTTACGTTGTTTACTTGAAAAAGAAGATATAACGTAACGTTGTACACGTTTTATCTTCTTTTCAAGTGTCAAAAGGGACTTCCTATTTTCAGACTACCATAGAGATTTTTTTATATACCTATAGTGGTGAACTGATGACAAGAAACGATAAGAACTTAGTTACAATTAAAACTGGTTTAAAGGTAAAGAAGAAGGGCAAATGCTCAGTGGATACAAAGACTGATAAATCTTCATCTATATCTCTTGGAAATATTAGTCATAAAACAACAAATACAAACTCACGACAAACGGCACTACAAAAAATGCAAATGATCTTCTTTTCGCACTGCGATTGTTAGGGATGAAACAGTACGAGTAAATACGATTACTTCCTGGATACTTTTCTTTTGATACCAAGTAATTTTGGTATCGATTTTCTAAAACCGATTAACAAGTGGTACTTGGTCGGTCTTGGTCTACATAAGACTGTTTACGCTGTGGTAAAGTGTCTAAAGTCTATCTCACGAAAAAGTCCCAAAGGTGTGAAATCCCTGTCGTATAACGAAGCATTGTTAACCCCTACTAATTTTTTGTAGTAAGAGATCTATCTACAGAGGGTACTGCTAACAAAATTTTGAATTATTAAATTCATCACTTTTTATGCCTGGACCTGCTTCTCTTTCTTCCGTAAACAGAGTATTGCTATAAATTTAAAAAAAATGTTGCGGAATATTAGGAACATGTCACCTACTCCCTGTCTACGGATTGAGGAGACGTCATAGAATGAATACGGAACAACCAAATTAACCCTCAGGTTAGGTCATGATAATTTAGCCTCGTAATAATAATTTATTTTCTTTTTTGCAGGTTACCAATACGCTTTGATGTCTATCAAGACCGCTGTATCATCGATCGTAAGAAAATTCGTAGTAGTTCCTGACCCAGAGAATAGTGATGAGCCCAAAATTAGAGTTAAATTAGACATTATGATGAAAGATGTTGACGGCTACCAGATAGCTTTAGAAAGGAGGATACCACCGTCTACCACCACCGTAATAACAAACTAAAATTACCAACATATTTAGTAAGGTGCAAAATGTATTTTTTATATAAATTCCTACTAAATTATTTTTAGATGTTAGTGCATTAAGCAGCGTTTTTGCTCAATCCATGAGAGATTAATTAAAATGATTTGTATTTGAGGACCTAATAGTTCACATGAAGATAACGGTAGCAAATATTTGTTGCAAATCTTAATGTTCTTTAGCATTAATCATTCGCTTAACTGTTTAATTTTAAAATGTATTGCAGACTTTTTCAAATATATAGCGATTGTGTCAGAGATTTATGGAATTATGTAACTCTTAAAGTTGCAATCTCTTTTGCAACCAATGATAGTTTGAATGATTAAGAAACATAATAAAAACTTAGTTAAACCCGCCGAAAGATTGCAGTTAGTATTCAACTATTTCGTTTTAGTAGCTTTCAGTGACATTTTCTTAAGATTAACGTTTGTTAATTCCAACTAACGACATGCTTCATTCGAAGTGAAGTTCGTTAATGTCTTTTAATGTAAAATTGAAAGGGGTTGCGATAGATTTTTAAATAAAACAAGTCTCATTCGCGTTACAGTAACTTTCTTAATAATAGATTAAGAAGAAGTAATCAATTTTATCTGTCAATGACTTTCCAACACTATTCAAAGCTCTAAACGACATTTAAATATCTGAACGCGGTTTATGTGTGATATATTTTTCATAAAATTTAACTTTAGATTTATGTAAGGGTTAAGCTTCAAAAAAATAATGGTACTCCATTAAAGTGTAAAATTAAGAGATTATTAATTTATACCTTAAATTTGTGGTTGTTGTTTTATAAATATTATTTTATAAATTTATTGTAGGGTCGATGTGACCAAAACATGGTGTTTCAGTTTAACTACGAAAATGAATCATTTTCGTAGTTAATATTACTTGTAATGTAATTTTTTGTGATAGTTTCGTGCAGAAAGTGATATATAAAATACATATTATATACTAACTCAACATTTTACTGCAATAAAGAGGTAATTGGCTTGGCAATAGTTACAACATGCGACGCTAAATAACAAGTTCTCTTCAAGTAATAAGGCTAAATACAGTTCCCGCAAAGTGTTTACTTGTTAGAAAAGCGACAGAAAAGCTTTTGATTTTTTTTCACATACCAGTGATTGCAGTTGGTAATATTCCTCAAAAAATGAAAAATTACGTAGTAATGAGCGAAACCATCTCGTTACCAGAAGAGATTAAATAGGCGTTTTAAGCTCCTCTTGCCGCTTAATTTTTAATAAAGATCATTATGTTGACAAGGCTGTTCTTTCCAACAAATGTTGTACCTATATCAAAATTTTATATCTTCGTTTTAGAAGGGAAAGCTCATTCTTTATGAGATGAAAAAGGTTACTATAAAGTACATCGGGGTCATCATGTGACCATGACATCTGCACGATTTTCTCATCTATTGAATTGACTACCTTAGATTTGTTTGTATAGTCAATACAATACATATTGATTATTTTTTTTATCATTTATGGTATTCAAAAATAGTTCCTAATTTAAAGAACAATGACCATCTGCTTAACATGCTTGGACTTGAAAAATTTAATAAAACGTAACTTGATGAAACATATGTTATTTTATTTGCCTATGCATCTAGAGCGAAGAAAGACTTTAAATACATTTTTAAAAGCTGGGAGTATCGAGTAATTGTGTCATATGTTATTGAGGTTATGTCTTATATTATTTAAACTGTAGCATTTTGAGTTAGAGGTATTACCGTTGAACTATGTAGAGCACACGTCAGATAATGCCCAATTGTAGTCCTAGAAGTGCATACTTTTACAAAATACTTCAAACTTGTTCCATATCTGATAGGTTATTTTTATTCATTGTAAGAAATAAAATCATTTTTTGTGAACCAATGAACCTACAAAAAAAATATAATAGAATTTTTAAGATTGCTCTAAATAACTCTTCTTTTCTATCTGACACTATAACGTATATAGAGTAGTAGTGAAAATACTAATTTCAAAAGGGTATAGCAAAACAACATGTTGATTTTTTTTATTACAATTCTCTAATGAATACCTCATATTTAAGTCTAATTCTAATAAATCCAGAGAATCCGGTATTTCCCTAAAGACCTCAATTCTATACTGCCCATGGAACCTAGTATGCTCCCCATGATACAGAAGATAATACAAAATTGCACAGAACACAAAATCACCGTCAAGGCTACAAAATGAACAGCACGCAACTAGTAGGAGTTTTTATTGTATGAAGGATTAAAGAGGCTGTGCGATTTTTGTAAATTTGGAGTTGATCATCGACTTTCGTATAAACACATTAGTTAATACGAAAATTGAAAGTGAAGCGGGTATTATATTTATATTGTGCCGTTTCTTACAATTGCTATATAATCATAATTGGGCTAATATTATTAGCATCATACTAAACATATAAAAATTCCACGCGGGTCGGGGTGGGAGTGCCATAATTTTAGCTTAAATATAAAAAGTGAAATATGATTACTCAAGGTTTTTCGAGACTAAAAAAAGCATAGTTAGAATCAATTATATCGTAAATTTGAGATTCATTAAAATTCCTTTATAAATTAATGGAAAACTACTACTCGTTACAATTTCATAAGAATTTCCTTACGATTTACGGTTGACATCAAAAATGATGATTGAAATATTCTGCTAAGTCAAAAATAACCTTAATGTTTCAAAGTAACGAATTAGGACTTTATAGGAATAGGTAAGGTGTTGATATAATTTTTAATGTATTTATTATTATTTATTTCTAACAATTGGTGCCAATTTAATGTAATACTTTGGGAATGGTTTGGTTGAAAACAAATAAAAGACTGTAAGATAATAAATTTATGTTTGATTTATCACTCTAATATATTGTTACCGACCGCCAAATTTTTTTTTTATTTATTGCCCGGCCTTACGTTATTGGCCGAGTTTCCTGCCTTATCCTCACTCAGTAGCAGGCCCTGCTTATTCTGTTGTTTCTATTTTTCTTTCTGTTGCAATTTCTAATTCTAATTTACATTTTCTCGCCATAATTATATCCATAGGATACGATATCTCTTATGACGTTATTTCGTTTCATTTTACTACTTAAACATGTATTACGCCTCGGTAGAGGGCATGGACGGACAACTGGGTGGAGATAAGTTCCCTTGATGGTACTGATAGTACCTGCACGATACAATGCCATTTTGGAGGGATGAACCTTTTCTATAATAGCTAATAACCAGGCTAGAAGCGACGCATTATCATTTATTACGATCACTACCGTACCCGGAGTGACTGGAGTGGAAGACGTATTCCACTTCTGCCTAACCTGCAAGCTATGAAGATATTCCATCATCCACCAAGCTTGCTGCTAAGTGCGCGCGCGAGTCATTTTATTTTCTCCATAATGAAGATCGGCAGCAGTCATAGCTACACTGTTGCGGCGGGGCAATAAATTAACAAATCGTCATACGTATCGACGTAGGAGTTGACTCCAAAAGGAGATACGAGAAGAGAGCTCGTGTTGAAATATTTTCAGATATGTGTGCAATAGACTGACCGTCTAGGCTAAAGTAGGTAAAAAATGTCTATGTAAAATAGTTTCGGAGATATTAAATTACAAAGATTTTGGAAAATAATGAGTGTTTTCAACCCTTAGTCAGCTGTTTTGTGAAGTACCAAGGAACAAGTTTTAATCGGTCATTGACTTCTTAATTTCTAAAAACAAAATAAACTACTATTGTGATCTATTAAACAGGTTTTTAATAATATCTAATTGACAATCACTAAACGAATCAGTCAAAATGTTAAAATTAATTAATAGACTAACATTTAATAAATCATTGTAAAAACATTATTCTAACGTTAACTAAGTTACATTACATTACAACATTACTTCAAATAGTCAAAGTTTTAAATAGGATAATTTATTAAAGTAGTAAAATCAATATATCATCCATTAACATAAAGTACATTTGTGTTAATAATGAACCATGATCACAAATGAAAATCAGCTGTTTTTCTAATGCCCAACTTTGCCTTGTTTTCTCAAGGGTTAGCAACGCCTGTGGGCTTTATATTTTGGCACCCGAATAAAAAAAACACCAATAAAGTTTATAAATTCCATCTTAAATATTATTGTTAATCATATATAATGTTGGCACCCTCAGCAGGCTGTAGAATTTCGGTACAAAAAGAATTCTACCTTTACAGGTTAATTAAGTTATAACCTACTCAATGCACAACATACAATTTAAGCTTACAAAAACTTTGGTATGAGTCGACACGAACGAAGATGCGGGCACCAGCTAGTGGCAAATGATATAACGGGGTAATGAATCTTTACAAGTATTTTGACCAAACATAACCTCAGTAAAAAGTAATACGACCAAATGAAACAATAACAAAAACTTACTTTAACCCAACCTTTCATCTTATTTGAGGTTGTTCAAGATATTTATTGAGCAACACATTAGTTGGATAGTTTCGTTGGGATTGCCAGTTTAAAGCTGCTTTCTTTATGCAGATGATCCTACCATGGTGCTTACATAGAATCAATTCAATCTGCTAATGTAGCGATAGTGATGAAGCAAGATTATAAGTGATGAAAGGTTTAAAATTGAATGTGAAGAACACATAAGATATTAAACCAATGTACTACTCTGACAATAGAACTGTTCACACCGTCATTAACTGGTCGACTTCTTTTAATTTTAAATAAGAGTTAAGTAAACAAATCTATTTCGTGATTATCCTTTACCAAAGGAGGCAATTTGTCAATATAAAAATAAAAAGAAAGGATCAAGCATTGAGCACTGTGGAACACTCATGATAGGTGTTGATCTATCGATTCAGGGTATTTCTTGTCACCGATATGAACCTCCTGCTAAGCCACTCACGTACTTCCCACGTACTTCCATGGATGACCAGCGAGGCGGCCGATCTAGGCGTGTACCTGTTCAACCGGCTCCAGCTCATTCTGTGGTGGAGGTGCGCGAGGTA